ACAAATAAAGAATTCTATCACTCCAATTATAATAACAAGATGAACGAAGAAAAAACAAAGTTTGTCCCACCTCACCTTGTGGGGAGGGGCCACGCCAGATCCGGCCGCCCCTGAGAGCTGGTTGCAAGGGCGTGGGGCGGAGAGGAGGAGGGGCGGCGCTTGATCCAACCGTTCCTGAGCGCCTATGGGGAGGGGCGGAGGTAGACCTAGCTGCCCCCGAGCGCCGGTGGGAAGGGGCGGCGTTGGATCCAGCCGCCCTCGAGCGCGGGTGGCCAATGTGAAGAGGTGAGAGGAGTAGGGGTGGCCCACATCTCATTGCTGCCACCGCCGTGACCCCCCGGCGTGAAGGAAGAACAGGAAGGTATGGACTAGGGGAGGAGGAGGAAAAGGAGGTGGGACGGTGGTTTCAGAGAGAGTGGCGAGATGAAGAATGAGAGGGGTGGATGGCGAGAAAACGATAACCACAGGTGGTTCAGCTCCGCTCTTGACCTAAAAGTGCTGATTTATTTTAAAAACTCACTTTTGTCTTAGCCCCACTAAAAACTACTACGATGGGATAACACTCAAAGGTGTCGGTTCCTATTAAAAACCAGTACCTATTCTCCACAAAGGTGCCGGTTCTACCGGATGGTGCCCCGTGGGCACGCACCTCAGGCGGAAAAAGGTTTATAGGTATTAGTTTTTTTTAATTTCCAGCATCTATATTGTCATCCCCTTTTGTATGTTTTTTTATAGTGCAACTATAGTTCTTTAAAAAAAACTTTTAAAAAAATTCAAAATCGCTTTGATTATATAATGCAAAGCTAATTAAAATAGGCAAAGACTTAAGTGCTTAACAAGTTCACGTGTTTTGCATACTATATTTATAATTCGATCGATAAGCTGCCATATTGTGGATGTATAACTTGTTCAATAGCAGAGCCTAAATAGATGCTTATCCGAATATATATGATGGAGGTGCTCGATCTTGATTTTGTGACGCAGGGACAGAAGAGGGATGTAATATTTAGCTCTAGCCTCTGCTAAAGCAAAATATGCTTTGCTTAATTTTGGTTCACATTGATCATCACCAACAGATAGCTGAATGTGCGGTTTGAAGGGACCTTCTGAATGACAGCGATTTAATTTCTGAAACAGCAAAAGGGTAGTAATGTTTGTCTGAATGTTGTGGTATGATCAGCATCGATCAGTGAGAATAATCTCGTCTTAATCACCTTTAAGAGTAACAAGTAGAGAGAGAGATGTGTCATGTGTGCTGTGTGGACGCATCATTGTAGTACTCATTAGTTGAACCATCAATATTGTACAAACCATTAATTAAGCCATCCGTTTGGCCCAAGTTGCTAACCCGAAACCCTGGCCCTTAAACTGTTTCGTCGACCAGTAATGGAGAGATCACATGGCATCTGTCCGAAGCAAATCTTCTCAAGCAAAGTACACTCCAAGTCTCCAACAGATTCTTTTCCTCCTCCCACTGCACTTCATTAATCAGCATCTGGTTGGTGTCTACTATTGCAAATATTCTTGTCAATTATTATGTAGTAGTGGTACCAAGGAATTGCATGGTCAAAGCTTTAGATGTATAATTAATTAATAACTGCCCTGTAACAAATTTGAAGTGTTAGTTTCATCGGTCATGAAAAAAATATAGTACTAGATATATTACTTCCATATATGTTACTAAATTTCCTTCCTATTTGGACAAAGACTACGCAATTACCCAAATCTTCCCTAGCATACTGTTTATAGCATTATATTCAAACATACATACTCCCTCCGTTTCACAATATAAATCATTCTAGTATTTTCCACATTCATATTGATGTTAATGAATCTAAATAACTAGACATATATCTATCTAGATACATTAACATTAATATAAATGATAGAATAACTAATTACATTGTGAGACGAAGGAAGTACTATAGAACTCTATAGACGAGCCCCAGCTAACTAATTCAGAGTTAATTTCGAGTCCTGATGAGATCAGGCTGTCCCCTTCACGTCAACTCAACATGTTAATAAGTGTATCATCACATCCTGTTTATAGCTAGTATTTATGCGCCGCCACTAAATCCGAGTGCTGTTAGAAGTTGCCTTAATTAATTCATCAATTTGTGATTATTTTAAGAAAAAAAGATGAATTTGTTCTGTTATCTCCATAATTTAGTAATGCATATATGAAAGTAGGTGAAATTGGTAGAGCAAATAAATGCCCCTCTGAAAAAAAAAATCCCTCTGGTTTAAATGATTTAGTTATTGAATAAATTAATACTCCTATAAGGTTAATTGTCCCATTTCATTAATCCTTTGTGTTCGGTCAAAATGCATCCATTTCTTTAAAAAAAGTTCATGATTATTATATTTATTCTGAAATATATATTATGTCAATTGCATGGACTACTGGTCCGATTGAACCAAAAATTTTAAATTGATAAAAATGCGGGAAATCCTTTAATTAATTGCATCAGCTAAGATTTGAATTCGAGACCACCAATTCACTTATGCTATCTAAGTCACTTTACTTCTAAGGTTTGTAAGTTGGATTGAGTTTAAAGAAAAATATAATATATAGCAACTTTTCTAATACAAAACAAACATATTATCAAAATATATTAGATGATAGTTTTAATGAAATTAATTTGGTGTTATTGATGTTATTAACTAATTTCTTTTATAAACTTATCAATCTTTTAAGAAAATTTATTAGTAAAATAGTCAAAATGATTTATAATATGAAATCGATGAGTAGTCAAACTCTCCATCTCAGATGAAAACTCCCTTGAGCCTTAAATATCGAATTAATAGAGGTGGGCTGTACTGTTTTTAATTGCGTGTCAGCAAGTATTCTAACTTGATATTGAGCTGCAAGTACCATTCAAATCCGAAAGTAAAAGTAACTAGGAAAAATGGTCAATTCACCTGTACTCTATACACTGTATATTGTACTGATGTTCTTGTGAGCTTATTATTTGGATATCTTTATTGTTAAGTTCATAGAAGTGAAAGCATTAGTACTTTCTCTTTCCTCAAAACAAAAATGGCGGCGGGTTCCATTCTGCCATTAATTTGCAACTCGAAATGTAGCAGTGACATGCAGCTTAATTTGCAGGCAGCACCTAGTGGCAGGAAACCTGCAGGATTTTGCTGGTAGCAGCTAGTATAATGTTTGCCATTACTAACATGGATTGATGGATGTATACATAGGTACCAGAACATCTTACATATGCAAAATGCAACAACTAGTAGAAAACTACCAGAACATTTTACATATGCAAATGCAACAACAACTAGTAGTACTAGAGAAGTGCCATTTTTTGAAGGATTTTTATGGTACAATATGCTGGTAGTATATATTACCAGTATAAAATGAGGTGTTGGGAATCTACCGCAAAAATAGAAAATGATCAATAGTTATTCATGCTATATTTTCACTCCGATGGTAATCATAATTGTCCATGCATCAGATCGGATTACTGACCGGATACGGTCGAATAGATGGCACAATCATATGCTCTTGATAGAATCGATAGATTCATCAAACACATAAAAACATTAACCCAGATAACTAGAGAAACACATAAAACATGGATCATTTACCCTTTTAATTTTATACTCATTCGATTTAAGCGGGTAGAAAAATCAATCTACAACTCTTGGATTGTTTATAATGGCAATATATACTACCAGTATAGTGTACCTGTAAAAAGCACCAAATTAAAATAGGAGTACATAAACCAAAACCAATGCTGGATTAAACATAATAGAATCAAAGTCACTGGATTAGCCAAAAAAATGGCAGACAACATCGATCGATCATGTAATGCCATTTTCAGTTGAGAAACATAATTAATTAACTGGTCTAGAAAACCCTAAAAGAAATCAATGATAGATATATATTTCAATTATGAGTAACATTCTACAATATTTACCTAGAACCAATTGCAATACACGTACGTATGCGACGTCGCAACTTCCATTTTGGCAAATTAAAGGGCCATATCTAATTAAGGGCATAGTCCGATCTGATTAAGTAGATAGCGAGTAGGTGGCAAGCGCCGAATCCAATTTAATCCCCTCCGTCGGGTACACCATTTTAGTGCTGATAGTGCCATGCCATGCATGTCCCTTGTCATAGGAAATAAGCCATCAGCAGTTTTGTACTACTGGCCTGCACAAGGAAGCTATATCAGTGGTTTTGTAGAAACATGTGCTTTATATCTTAGTGATCATCACCAAAGCCAGCCTCCAACTACCTAGCTATATAAGGATTTTCATACTGTAAACTTGAGTGTAATTATGAATGCAAATTTCACTATATATAGGAGCCTCAAAATTTGTGTAATTTACTACTGGACATCGTAGAAATATGTCATAGCTGGATTGAAAAAAGTTAGTAATTTGCTGGATGACATTTTCGACCCAATTAGAAAGATAAATTCTATAAAAAAAAAGGATAGTGCCCCTAGAGCCACAAGCTTCTAACCTAACGGTACAGTGGAGATAAAAAATTGTAGCCGAGGGGTATTTTTATCTTTTTGAAAAGTCTCTCTTTCCAATTAGACCGGAAATATCCTCTTACAAATTATTATTACTATTCATTGTTCTCTAGTCATAATACGTTTTTGCGATGTCCTCTAACAAATTACACAAACTTCGAGCGTCATATAGCAACATTTATCAATTATGAAATTAATCCTCCATCTCATACTGTAACCTCTGTTAATTTGTAGGATACCGGCCATTGGCCAAGCTGATCATGGGTGCAGGGCCAGGAGCATTACTGAAATCTGATGGTACTCTGAATTTGTCATAATACAGAACTGTGATCTAATGAAGCATCCATATGCAAATCATTCAGCTAGCGGTGTGAGGCCAGCCAGGAGATGACTGTAGTATTAGTATACCGATATGATCGAGCTGGATGGATCAACGGATGCATTCAATGGAGGCCAACTGCCCTTATGCCTTGGCAGCATTGCAGCAAGATCGATCATATCGATCACACTTCACACACCACCGTCCATGCAATGCAGCAAACAACACGGTAGGTGCAGCCCTTCACCTGTATATATACACTGCAGGAGCAGTGTCTCACACTCACTCAACCCAAGCATCTCTCTTCTTCACTAGCTACTTCTCCAAGTTGAAGAGATCAAAGCTAGAATGGGCAGCTGCAAGATTCTCCTGGTCACAGCTCTCCTGGTCGGCATTGCCTCCCAGCAGAGCTCTGCCACCAGGAACCTGCACGGAGATCATCACGTCGCGGAAAAGAAGTGTAAGTGATTTGTACTTCATTTAATTTGTGTCTATATATACATTCTTGCATGCATCCATGTACCGACGATCTCAATTCTTGGCAGTCGGCGGCGGCGGCGGCGGCTACGGTGGCGGTGGCGGTGGAGGGTACGGTGGCGGTGGCGGCGGCGGCGGCTACTCACCGTCGCCCACGACCGGTTTCACCGGGAGCTGCGAGTAAGAACAAACTATATGTCACTAGCTATATACCCCCTCCGTTTCAGAATGTTTGACACCGTTGACTTTTTAACACATGTTTAACCGTTCGTCTTGTTCAAAAACTTTTGTGAAATATGTAAAATTATATGCCTACATAAAAATATATTTAGCAATGAATCAAATGATAGAAAAAGAATTAATAATTACTTAAATTTTTTGAATAAGACGAACGGTCAAACATGTGCTAAAAAGTCAACGGCGTCAGACATTTCGAAACGGAGTGAGTATCAATTTGTGAGTGCAATTAACGTTGCTAATGATCATCTGATGATGATGAACACACACAGTTTCTGGAAGAGCCACCCGGAGAAGATAATATCGTGCATCGGGTCGCTGGGGAGCATCGTGGGGTCGTTCGGGGACGTGTGCAGCGGCTTCTTCGGGAGCAAGCTGCAGACGCTGCAGGACGCGCTGTGCAGCACCCGCAAGGACTGCTACGGCGACCTGCTCCGGGAGGGCGCCGCCGCGTACATCAACTCCGTGGCCGCCAAGAAGCAGGCCAAGTTCGCCTACACCACGCAGCAGGTCAAGTCCTGCATCCTCCTCGGCCTCACCTCCAAGGCCGCCGCCATCGAGCAGGCCGCCTTGTTCAAGAAGGCCAACCTCGCCTGCCACTACACCTAGCTACCCATACCTCGCCGCCGGCCGGCCATCTCTCCGGCCATCTCTCTCTCTTAGCTAGTTGGTAGCTAGTGTCGTCATGGTGTTGATGATGAATAAGTCCTTGCATGGATGCGTCGTGGCAAACCATGCGTATATTATTCAAGAATTGTGTGAGTGTTCAGATCTGACCTCAGCTGTGGCTTGTGTGCGTTTGCAGTTAAATTGATGAGGTGCACGGCGCCACGACGACGTCTCGTCGTCGGTGCTTAGTTGCATGCTTTGTTTGCTTTTCTTAGTTTCTTGGCGATGTACTTATTAAGAGAATAAGATGAGTTTGATTTGGTTAGTGATGAACTGGTCTCTGCTTTTACCTAAGCTAACTTGCACTTGTTTCTTCCCTGGTTGCTTGGTTTCTTTATGACGAGATGGATGCAATTAATTCTGTGTACATCTTATTTCAATTTGATATTTTACTCTTCTGTGAATTTACAGTTGGTTTTTGCATTCAACGGAAAAAAAACAACAGAGTTTCAAAGATCTTGTAGACATACAAGTTTATATGTTGAATTGATTTACTTAATTGATGGCAGAAAAGGGTTGCTGTAGATTATCTTTAAGAAAAAGGTACAGTAATTATTACTACTGTAATTTACAGTAGTCAACACGGCGAGCTGTGTTGTCTTGCGGCCGTATATGAGCTAGGCACATTATTACCTTACTGCTAATACTCCCTCCGCCACTAAATATTTGACACCGTTAACTTTTTTAAACATGTTTGATTGTTTATTTTATTAAAAAAATTTAAATAATTATTAATTATTTTCCTATCATTTAATTCATTGTTAAATATACTTTTATGTATATATATAGTTTTATATATTTCATAAAAGTGTTTCAATAAGATGAACCATCAAACATATTAAAAAAAGTCAACAACGTTAAATATTCGAGGGAGTACATTATTAGTCGTCGCCTAAGAACATGAGAGCAGAGACTATAAGCACGTCAAATTAATACTGAATAAAAATAAGGGATTGTCTACGCATACACTGCTGAAAAATTTTATGGTTTCAGCTTAATTCCTCACGAAATGATGCAACACGTGTCGCCAATGCGCTGACTAGCCTACCGCACGTCACGAGCGTTCCGAACGACTAAGAGCAAGCTAGTTTAAAGGCTTGTTCACTTTGACGCCAAAACTAATCTTACTAAATTTTGGCATTGCTAAAATTTTGGCAACTTACTAAAATTTTGGCAAGATTTCTTATATAGTTTTTGACAGCAAACTAAATGTAGCCACTTTTTGGCAATTTTACTAAAATTTGGTAAGGTTGAAAATGACATCAAAGTAAACAGACCCTAATAGTATAGCCCACTACTAGTTCCAAATCATATATAGCCAATGTAATAGTCAATTCATACAATAGTTGCATACTATACTATCAATACCTGGTCCCATTTGTTATGCACATGTTATATCTTGGAGTCCGTGTTACAGCTGGCTACAGATCTGTAGCCCGCTGCTATTCTCTCTTCCTTTATCTTTTTAAAATATGTTTATAACTTATAGCCTACTATTGTACCTGCTCTAATCGACTATAACCCAGTTTGTTGGGCCGGATCAGTGCTAGGCCATTTGTTGGCACAAAAGGCCCAGCAATACACAAGGCTTATATAGAAGAAAAGAATAAGTTCACATACTTATTGATCACTATAATATAATATTGTAGATGATGTGTCATGCTTGCATGAGATTTAAAATATGTTAGAATAGTACTACCTCCGTCCTAAAATAAGTGCAGCCGTGGATATCCGTGCCCAACGTTTGACCGTCCGTCTTATTTGAAAAATTTAAAAATATTTAGTCACACATACAGTACTATTCATGTTTTATCATCTAATAGCAATAAAAATACTAATCATAAAAAAATTTCAAATAAGACGAACGGTCAAACATTGAATATAAATAGTGCAAAATTGCACTTATTTTGGGACGGAGAGAGTAATTGCTAGTGAGTGAAGATGTGGCATGTTTGCATGCGATTTTAAATAGGCTAGAATAGTAATTGTTAGTGGGTGATGATGTGGCATGCTTGCATGTTGAAATTTAGTTTCCAATAATTGTTAGTGGGTACCAATTATATAGAAAGTATAGATATGGAAAATATGTGTCAATTTGGAAAATCGGCAATAATATAAGGGATACCACATAAGATCTAAAGTAGATGAGTAAAGTGATAAAGATTTAGACAGATTCAAGTCTTCTCGATGAGAAGTAATACCCTATTTCTATTTTAGGAATTGTATCTGTCAGATATTGTACTGATCCGATGATCTTGTTGTGGTTTATGCCCTTGAGGGACTCCTTGCCCTACTTATATAGGGTTTATTTTTTTTGGGGGGGGGGAGGGAGGAGGGGCGCAAGGTTATAAAGAGGAAAAACCAATCGAACTCGATATGGATTTTCTTATACAACTGTACAATCATATAAGACTAAGACTGTAGACTATATCTTGAAACACAAGGAATTCAATGTCTAAACCCTAGTCTATTTACATAATATACGGATCTGGTCCATTATCTATCGCCAGTCAGATAAGTTGTTTGTGTGCATATATGGTACCCATAATTTCTACAATATGGCTCTCGTACTTTATTTTTCAACATATAAACTTTGTAATGGCGTACATACTTTGGGCCTGTTCGGCTGGCAGGTACAGCAGCTACCTGCAGCCAGCTGCGGTCAGCCGCTGCTTTTTTTTTTTTTTGCTTGCTTCACTGTTCCTATAGGCTGCAGCAGCTTGCACCCGAACAGACCCTTTAACAATACATAAAGTTTTCCAGATAAAACATGCAATTTCTTTCATAGCTTTTTAGTACCAGTTACCAATACATGGTGCATAATTTAGGTTAACACGGATCCATATGACAACATTAATGGGGTTTGAGCCCTTGAAGAATTTTTATGTGAACCATAAAACTACATTTATTAAAGTAAAAAAATAACACAATACATACCATCATACCTGGCCACCCTTAGGCCCTCTTTGAGGAGCTTAAGATTATGAGAATCTGCTAGTTGCTAGCTAGCTTCTCAGAATCTGGAGAAGCTAGGTTTTCCAACTTTTGGGTTATAGTTTATTATTTGGATTCTAGTATTCTACAACTACATATTCTTAGAATCTGGGTGACAATTTGAACTATTTGGAGGAGCTGAAGATTCTGTGAGAAGCTGCAGCTGCTAGAAGCTCCCCAAAACAGGTCCTTAGGTTGCTCCCTTCCCCCCAACCCTAATCATCACGCTGGACATCATTTCCAATTTCCTATCAGATGGTTTGATTGATTGGGTTTGTTGGAACCATGCCACCCTAATTTTGCAAAATTTGTGATATGCCACCCGTATCTCAATGACATGTAGGACCCACATGAGTCAATGACATATGGGTCAGAGTGGCATATCACAAATTTTGCAAAATTTGTGTGGCATGGTTCAAATTTTCCCTTGATTGTACTACCATGCCTCCCACCTGTTGGATGCTAGGTCCATGTGCCACTTGACCTTTCTAGTCATGTAGGAGGACCACACACCATTCACTAGCAAACAATGCAAAGCATTTTATCCCTTTATTAGATGATAGCTCCATAATACGAGCCACTCGCAATACAAACAATTTTGTGTTTCATCCTCTAATTAATTTTCTAATAGCATTTATTAAATTTCTTATTACCAAATTCATTGGAACTTTTTACACTATCAACCTTATGGCAAAAATATCCCGAATAAACCCTTACGGTCCAAAATATAAATATCTCTTTCCTCATTCTCCTATGTCCCTCTTCTACTTTTGAATCAACCTTTCACATTTGTTGTTATTATCCCCACCTTTGTTCTTCACCACCGCTTCATCTACCCCATCGCTGGCCACTGCCCTCCCCTCACTTTTCCATCCCCTCACTGGCCACTGTCGTTGCTCATATCCTATTCTCTCAACTTTCATCTGTTGCTATTGTATTCTTGGTGACCAACAGTGGCAGAGCCAACTAGAGGCCACGTCTAGAGCTCAACTCTATTTTGTCACCTAGCTAAATTCTTTACAAATTCATACATTTTTCTGAATTTTATATAAAATCTACATGGAGTTTGGATCTTAGACCTAGGGTTTAGGGTTTAGCTAGGCTTTAGGAGTTTGAGCCCTAGTCGTCCTAGGCCTGGTTCCACCCCGGGTGGCCAATGCGTTCATGCTGTCCTCCCCAATCCCGTTTGCCATGTCATGGAATCATCTCGGATCTTGCAGCCTTAGAGGTAGAGTGGCTCAGGGTGGTGCGCACCTTCAACGATTGAGTGACATGGAAGTCGTAGAGGAGCACCAGATTTACTAAGTTGCGGAGTGGCTTGGGTCAGTGTCTTTAACGATAAATGATGGTGAAGTTGTTAGATCTACTTGTTGCTGGGTTAGGCCATATCGACATATTGACATCGGAGTGGCTAGGCTCCAGAGTCTAATCTCAACGGCAAAGAGAAACATAAGATAGAGGTGACTCATCGAACAAACATTCCTAGTTTTGCTTGGTGGGACAACATGTTCACACAATTCAGCTTCCTAAGCGATGGCTTCATATGTTGGAGTTACTTTTAGCTAGGATATATACCTATGTCATTTGCAGATTATGGAGATGGCACGAGGTTACCCGTTAACTAGGGTTTAGTTCTAACGTGAGCCTAAATCGTTATAAATGCTCTATTATAATCTATTGGTATAGCATCTCAACCACTATTCACGCGGCATCTATTAGCCCTATTCGGTAGGCAGGTGTAACATCTGGCTGCAGCCAGCCACTATTTTTTTTATTTGTTATGCTTGCTTCACTGTTCCTGCGGGTACAGCAGCACTGCAACCCTTGTAGCCGAACATACCCATTGTTAGTGTAGCTCAACCACTGTGTATAGGATAACCTCCAATGATCCTTCTGGAACGGGAATATCAACCAAACCAGGTGAGATTAGAATTAATTTTCTTAACCGATTCTCTTTTTTTTAAAAAGAAATCTGGATCAGGATCGATCAATCAAGCGGTTTCTAGAAAACAAACCGGTTTATCGTCACATTTTCAGTCCCTGTTCGAACCCACAAAAGCTGACATGCACGCCAGTGTCGCCGATCCAGTAGGACCAACAAGCAATTTGCATCAACGGATGGTCAACCTCCGCTTTTCCTCCCCTTTCCATGCGGTTACAGCTGCCGAAGGCCGTAGAAACCACCACCACAGCCACATCCGCCAAATCGCATACCAGCCGAACAAAAGCACCCCGTCCTTCTTTCGCGTGCCCGAGCACACCGCTTTTATCACCACCCCCGCTGTCAGCATCCCGAACTATCTTATATATACTCCATCCCTCCCAATAATATAAGAGGTTTTAGATAAATAAGACACTTCCTAGCACAATAAATTTGGACAAACAGCCTATCCAGATTTACGGCTTGTTTGGTTCTCTACCCTACCAATTTAATTTATTAGTAGTGCCAAAGTCTAGGCAAACTTTGGCACTACTAAAATATTGGTAGGTTAAAATTATTTGGCTACCATTTAGATTGCTACCAATATAAAGTCAAATTCTTATAGTATAGTGAAGAAACTTCTATAAAATGACCAAATAGTATAAGATCACTACCAAATATTTGTCTTCAATCCAAAATAACACACATACTATTCAATTTGCCAATAAATTGGTAGGGTATGTTTTTGGTATCAAACCAAAACGGCTCTTATTGTACTAGAATATATCACATCTATCCAAAATCTCGAATACTAGTATATCACATCCACCCAAAATCTCTTATATTATAGGACGGATGGAGTACACCTTTATCAAAAAAATATGATTGAATGTGATACATTATACTACAATGAATCTGAACAGATATTTATACGTATTTGTAGTACGAGAATATGTCATATTCAGTACTAGGTTGATTTTTTATGGGACGACGATTTTTTAGAGACGGAGAGAGTACGACATTACGATAATAATCAAGATGAAACGATATCAACCATATCTAATATCCTAATTTTTATAATATCCCGATCTTACTATTTATTTACATACCATCTTATGAAATCTTATTTAGTATTCCGATTCTACGATCCCTACCACTACTGGAGAAACCATCTTCGGACGGTCGACCAAATTCCACAATAGTTCTGGTTCCAATAAAACCAGGACTAAAAAGCATCTTTAGTCCCAGTTTAAAAGCTTAGGGGTACTTTTTGATCTTTAGTACCGGTTCGATCATTACCAACCGGGACTAAAGATCATTTTTAGTCCCCGTTGAAGAAGTTGTCAGATCGTCAGGCCCCAATTATCTTTAGTCCATGTTGGTATAAACAACCGGGACTAAAAATAAATCTTTAGTCCCGATTGCTTATACCAACTGGGTCCAAAATTCACCCCAAGCCACGTGCATATCTCGGTCGATCTTTATCTCTTTGCGCATCTGTCTGTCCTTCCTCCCTTGGTCTTATCCCTTCTTCCCCACCACTCATTCTCCTCCTCCTCCTCTCTCCTCGCTCCTCTTCCTCCTCCTCCCCTTCCCCTCTCCCCCGTCTTCTCGGTGGTGGCAAGCGGCGGCCGGCGCGGAGGCCTGGCAGCGGCGGCTGCCCGCGCGGAGGGCCCACGGTGATATGCGGCGGAGGTACGGAGGGCTGCCCTGGTGGCGGGCAAGCGGCGGCCGGTGGCCCAGAGCGGAGGGCCGCGAGGCGGCATGGGATTTTTTTTTCCTTTTTTTCTTTTTTCCTTCTTAATGTGATGTGAATGATTGTGATTTGTGCGATCTGTGATTTGTGATGCGATCTGTGATCTGTGATTTGTGAATGATATTGAGAGATATGTGATATGTGAACTATCTGTTATTTGTGATTTGTGATGCGTATGTGATTTGTTAGTTTTTAATGATTTGGAGATATTGGACGTGAGAAAAGAAAAAAAAACCTTAGTCCCAGTTGGTGGGACTAAAGATTTAGTCTCAATTGGTGTTACTAACCAGGACTAAATATCCATCTTTAGTCCCAAATTGTTATACCGGTTAAAAAACCAGGACTACAGGGGTTACCAACCAGGAGTACAAACCGTTTCTCCGGTAGTGTACAATCCTATAAAATATTATTTTAAGTAAGGTTGATTGCAAATAATATAAATAAATATGCTTAAGTTTACGTAAAAACCAATTACATTTATCAAAATCAATTTATATGCTTTAATTTATACAACATATTATTATTGTATATAAAATTTGTACTTTTAAAATATAGAGTATCATGATCCTATGGTACTATCTCAATACTTATTACCTTTTCTTTGTCGTATTTTAAGTGCAGTCGTGGATTTTTATGTATAACGTTTAACCACTTATTTTATTTAGAATTTTTTTGATGATTAATATATTTTTATTACTCCCTCTGTTTCAGGTTATAAGACGTTTTGACTTTGGCCAAAGTCAAACTATTTTAAGTTAAACTAAGTTTATAGAAAAATATAGTAATATTTATAATAATAAATTAGTTTTATCAAATCAATAATTAAATATATTTTCATAATAAATTTGTCTTGGGTTAAAAATGTTACTATTTTTTTCTACAAACTTAACCAAACTTAAAGCAAACTTAAAGCAGTTAACTTTGAGTAAAGCCAAAATTTGTTATAACCTAAAACGACGGAGTAGATGATAAAACGTTACTCGCTCTATCCAAAAGACTAAATTCTTGGTTTCCATGTCCAACGTTTGATCATCCATCTTATATGAAATTTTTTTATGATTAGTATTTTCATTATTGTTAGATGATAAAACATAAATAATACTTTATGTGTGACTTATATTTTTATATTTTTTTATAATTTTTTTAAATAAGATGAACGGTTAAACGTTAGAGACAAACATTCCGGAATTGAGTTTTTTTAGACGTAGGGAAAACTGTTCGGCTGCCATTGTCTACAGCCGCGGGTCCCTCTTGCCCGCACCGCGACATACCGGGACACCGGGTGGGGTTCCCCGGAGCGGGGGGGGGGGGGGGGGGGGGGCACGTGTGAGCCCCCGCGCCGAAGGCTCCCGAGCCCGCGCGACACGTCGATTCCCGAGTGGCCCGTGCCTGTCACTGCCCTCGTCGCATCGTCGTCGCTGTCGTCGCGTTAAAAGGGCGCCACCTGTGGCGTCCACGTGCTACCCCAAACCCACCCACCCAGCGCTTCTTCTTTCCTTTCTTTATTTCTCCCTTGCCTTGTTCGGCAACGCGGCCATCGCTTTTGCTGTACTTTGCCTTCCGCTTTTCTTCCCCTCTCCCTTACCACATTTAGGAGCCCGCCCCCCCCCCCCCCCATCACATATCTCCATCTCGATCCGCAACAAAGATAGTTTGTAGCGGAGATGGCGGCGGCGGCGGGAGGAGGGGCGGCGCCGTTCGTGTGGAAGACGTACAGGATGGTGGAGGACCCCGGGACGGACGGGGTGATCGGGTGGGGGAAAGGGAACAACAGCTTCGTCGTCGCCGACCCCTTCGTCTTCTCCCAGACCCTGCTCCCCGCCCACTTCAAGCACAACAACTTCTCCAGCTTCGTCCGCCAGCTCAACACCTATGTCAGTCTCGTCACTCCCAGTTCTATTTCATCGTCTCATCATACTCCCCCCCTCTCTGCACTTCACATCATGCTGCCATGGATTCTCAGTGGTACCCAACTCAAAGTGAGTTCTGAGGGGCTTCGGCCATGGCCCATGGATCTGAGCTACATGGTTCTTGAGTTCGTGTGTGCGTGTGTTTTGGGAGATTCTTTGGAAGATGAGATAAAAAATTGTTGTGGTGGTTGGCATGTTGATTTTGTAGACTTGGAGAGACAGGAGGTGAGAGGTGAGGACAACAGAGTTTGGGACCCATCATTTATTGTTGTAGCCTTAAATTGTACATATGCGCTGTTGTAAATTCAGCTAGCTGTACATCTTGGTGTACTAAAATCTGTAGAACAAAGCAAAGAATAGAATTCATTCATGTTCTGATGTTCTTTTTTCCCTTTTGAGTGTGCTGCATACTTTTTTAAGTGATTTTTGCTCAAATCATGGACGTCCGGAACATATTCATTTTTTGCGTCACTCAGCTGTACTTCGGGGAAAAAATAACGCAATTTGGAAAATTAATGCTGGCCTTGCCAACGGAAGACGATTTCGATCTCTGCACCTGAAGAAATCGGTAGTGAGTATAGTTTCATGTTTGTGATTCGAGGTTGTTCACAAATTTCATCCGGGAATACCCAAGAGATCCAATTTTGTCTAGCTCTTTCAATTTCCATCACATTGAACTTTCCTACACACAAACTTTTAATTTTTCTATCACATCCTTAAACTAAGGGTAAGGGTGTGTTTAGTTCACACCAAAATTGGAAGTTTGGTTAAAATTGAAATAATGTGATGGAAAAGTTAAAAGTTTGTGTGTATAGAAAAATTTGATGTGATGGAAAAGTTGGAAGTTTGAAGAAAATCTTTGTATCTAAACTCGGTCTTAGTTTCAAAAAGAACAACTTGAAGAAACTGTAGTAACTCGTTTAATTTCTTCCTTGATTATGTTCATCGGCCTCATGGATATAGAAAGAACCGAACACAGAATTAGATAAGACGTGTCGAAGTCGTGGTTTTAAAATTTGTGTTTGAAAAGATTTCGATGTAAGTTTGGCTTTCTACCTCTGATTCTGTTTGGATTTTGTCGACTACTACCAGGGTTTCCGCAAGGTGGATCCGGATCGGTGGGAGTTCGCCCACGCGTCGTTCCTGCGTGGCCAGACCCACCTCCTGCGCAACATCGTCCGCCGCGGCAGCGCGGCCGCCGGCGGGGGAGGCGGCGGCGGCGGCGGCAAGCGCAGGGACGCGTCGGCGGACGGCGGCGGCGGCGGCGGCGATGAGGACATGACGATGGTGGCGACGGAGGTGGTCCGGCTGAAGCAGGAGCAGCGCACCATCGACGACAGGGTGGCCGCGATGTGGCGCCGCGTGCAGGAGACGGAGCGGAGGCCCAAGCAGATGCTCGCCTTCCTCCTCAAGGTCGTCGGCGACCGCGACAAGCTGCACCGCCTCGTCGGCGGCGGCGGCAACGGCAACGGCGCCGCTACCGCCGCCGCCGCCGACAACGGGTTCGCGGACGCCGCGCGGGCGGGGTGCGGCGAGAAGCGCGCGAGGCTGCTGCTCGACGGCGACAACACCGGCGCGTTCGGCCCGGACGCCGTCGACTTCGCCGGGTTCTACACCGGCGCCGACATGTTCCCCGACGTTGCCGTCGATGCCGCCGCCGCCGCCGCCGGCGGGTCAGCCGGCTGCTCGTTCGCTTTCGGAGTGGACAGCGGCTACTGATTCTCTCGCTCCTCACCGACTGACACATGCACCAGCGCTGCCGCCATCGCTGCCGCTAATTTTGGCTGAAATTGTCGGCGCGCTCCGCTCGCCGTCGCTGGCTGGTGGCGTGACACGGCGGCATTTATCCTCCATGGAAGTCGTTTCCGATGGGTGCAGTAGTGCTTATTGGTGACACGCGTGCGAGCGGCGATGGTGCACTGAATAAAGATGTGCTTAGCTATGTAATGGAACTTGTTTTGCTGTAGTAGGCTGGGATATGATGTGGCAATGGCCTCTAACTATTGCTGTTGTGTACATAAGCATATGAATGCATGATTTGTAATGGTCGGGTGAGCCCTTAATTTCATGTAAGCAACTTACATTGCAGTGTTAAAGAGTTTGGTAATGGAATGACATGATTAGAACTTGAACTGGAAGTATAAGTTGTCAAGAATTTGGAAATGTCATTTGGAAATGGAATGACATGATTAGAAGTTGATCTGGAAGTATAAGTTGTTACCCCGTGCGAACAATAATTTTGCACGTTATATATGTATGATTTAGAAAATATATGTTTGGTAAAAGAATTTTTTCTGTCAGGTACTGAATGGGTAACGATCAAAATTAAAATTTTATGTAGTACAGAATGTCCAACGAAATTTTATCTAGTATAGAATGCGTAATACCAGCAAACTGAGATGGAAAAGGTGAGGGAAGCAAAGCAATTTTCTGGGTATCGAACTTGGTCAGTCATCAACCACTCAAAGAGCTATAGCACCTGGCCTTAACAACCGATCAAAGCGAAAGAGTCGATCGATATATGAAGCAGTAACAAACGATCAGCGGATACAGGATATCACGTACAACCTCACTGTCGACCTGATGAAGGAATTCTTCGACATGTTTCTTCAGATACGAAGCAACAACATAATCCAATCAGAAGGGTTGATGACATCATTAGATGGCGATGGACGAACAATGGAATACCAGTGCAAAGTCGGCATACAACACAATTCAATGGGAGATTAGATTCAGTAGCTGCAAAGCTGATATGGAAGGCATGAGCACTTTGAAAATGCTAAAAAAAATATATGGCTCCTACTATAAAATAAGATAAAGATGGTAAACCAGCTGCAAATCCGTCAGTGGCTGAACAATTAATTCTGCCAGCTCTATGACAAAAAACCTCGAAACTATGCAGCATGCACATTTGTACGCCAAATATAGGAGAAAATTATGCAAAAATTGAGAAGTGATGTTCTAAGCGCACACAATGGCGACGAAACCTTGTTGAACTAGTGGATCAAAGGACATCCCAAGGTAAAAAAACACAAGACAAATACAATGAAATTGATCATAAAAAAAAGTTGTGGCATCGGAGATATGGTGTGAACCGAAAAAAAGAGTGTTCCACAGTAAAGAGACTAAAATGCCATAACTAGTGTATGACATATTTTTGTTGAAACTGTTGTTATGTTTTTCTATAAAGTCAACTTGAAGATGGGATAACCCCAATATGACTTATACGAGTAGTAGTTAACTCTTCTGCTTGTACCTCGATTATCATCACATAATAAAAAAATCTACTATCTATTCATCCATCTAGAACAATCTCAAATTGTGACTATATCAATTAAATGTTGCTCACTATAGCAATTCATTTCGCTATCCAGAGTGAATCTTTAGTTGCATTAGTGCCTGGTGTGACTTGTCCATGGGGCATGTCATATATTGGGAGAGTCATGGCACACAATCTAGGTGCCCAATATATATGGCCAGCTCATTTTTGGTTTGTATGTACAAATAAGGGATCAAGAATCAGAAAATGCTAGAACATTTTTCCCATAGCATCAAAACAACTATGCCCAAATTTCTCTTGATTTTGTGGGTGATTGTTTATGAGAACGGGCGGCAAAGAAGACACCATTATCTCCACAACTTTCCCATTCTCATAATCAGCTTCATTGTTGTGCTTTTCTGCCTACCACTTTGTGTATCTAACACTTTTAGTTATGAAAATTATTTGTGTATCTAACATTTTTAGTTAACAGGATTGTTTGTGTATCTAACAATTTTGGTTAAAAAGATTGTTGGCATATCCAACATTTTTAGTTACTAGGATGATTTGCGTATCTAATATTTATGGAATGGCTTGTAGATGACTCGTTGCTAACAATGAATGATTGTTTCAGGCTAGCATTCCTCAACTCAGTCTAAAGTCAAAGATAAGTAACAAAATTCAATCTGATGCAACGAATTTCAAAACAAACATTGCTATGCATATACTAAAGAAATGACAAACTTCAAAATGATTTGAATGAATACAAATTTAGTCTTCCTCCAGAGACCACATTGTTCTAAAGTACTTCAATGATGGTCCAAGTATCCTCAATAGGCCTTCTCCAAAACTTCGACTCCATTAGAGTTATGTCCATTGCCTTAAAATACTTGATTAGGTAATAACTCTTCTGTAAGTTATCAACCTCAAGTGGTTAATAACAAATTTCCTAAAAACATCATAGAAGCATACTCGGTGAAGAGAGTTTACCTTTTTGCAATTCTATGAATCAATAGTGGAAGAAAACTTCCCTATGTAATGGAACGCACAGGCAGAGCCGACACATCATTTCTTCGGCTGGCTTGCACTGCATCAAAGAGCGCTTACTGCCCGCTCATAACGCATTGGCGGTGTAACTGAATATGTTCCTTGTGCTCAAAGGCTTTCGAAGATACCGACCACCTTTTCAGGAATTGTGATTTCACAAAGAAGGTTTGGTCTTTGGTTTGCGACAGGAAACTTTTTAACCAAGATGGAACCGAAGCCTTTATTCAATCATGGTTAAATAAACTAGTGACAACACAACTAGAAACAAAGAGAAAGGAGATGATATGGGCCTAAATCACTTAAAAGTGGAACTTTTGGCTAGAGAGGAATAAAAGAGTGCTCCAAAAAGTATTCTTTAGATGATGCCATGGTTGCTAACCTAATCACTAAGGACTCTATTAGCGCACGCTAGCCTTTAAACGTTCTTGATGTATTCTTGCATTTAGCCCTCACATTGTTTCTGCTCTCTGATGTAGTAACTCTAATACTTGTTTTTGTTTTGACTCTTTTACTCCTTAATATATCTGGTAGATCTCTTGCCACGGCCTTTCAAAAAAAGGTTTTTGGCTAGCATGATTAATTATTTGTATCTGACGAAATCTTTACGACCTCCCTTAATTGTTTTTTAACAAACTATATTCCATAACTCAATTTTATTAATTTTAGAATGGTTTTGTTTTCTGCCATCTGAATGTTGGGTTGCGAAATATGCGTTTGGATTGGTATCCGGATTGTGTTATTGTGAGATGTACATGTGTTTTACTAAAATTTTGGTATGATATGATTTTGATGAAGTATTTGTTTTCTTACCATTATATATGAAAAATGGCTTCTTACCAAAGAAAATTTTGCGCTCCGCAAATTTGGTAAGATTGACTACATTTTTATCTTGTTTGACGAACTCAATTTTAATATCTTTACTATATTTGTCTAATCTCGTATGATGCTGCAAGTTACTCCCTATCATAAGATGTTTAGATTAGTTGGTTGCCAAACGACTCATAATTCTCCATTTGGCTTCCCTTGTTTATGTAGCATCAAGGAGGAACAACTTTAAACGAGCTGCTGCCGGAGAATTACGTACAATTCCAGTGCCACACCCTGTTATTGCAGCTAGACACACTGCCTCACAACAAAGCGCCCATGCAATGGATAGCTTATTGAGAGTGAATCCGAGGATGATGAATTGGACAATGGAGTGTCAGCTATTGACCAAATCAATCCTCCAGCTATTCCAAATCATAATGGATGATCGCTGTCTGTTTCGTCTAGTTTCTCTATTTGAGTTTTGCCGACCACATCTTACCATTTTGAATCGGCTCTCGCTTTACTGTCCTTCTACCTATATCTAAGGCGAGGGTAATCATGATTCATCCATTCAGATGGCAAAGTTTAGGGCAGCAAAGTTGACACCATTACCTCCCCATATTTCCCTTTTTCACTGTCATCTTCATTGCCAACAATATCAAGTGATACTCCCATATATTTCCAGTTCATATTGTTGTGCTTTTCTGCATACCACTTTGTGTGTCTAACATTTTAGTATGAAAATTATTTGTGTATCTAACATTTTTAGTTAAATGGATCGTTTGTGTATCTAACAATTTTGGTTAAAAAGATTGTTGGCATATCCAACAATTTTTGTTACTAGGATTGTTTGCGTATCTAATATTTATGGAATGGCTTGTAGATGACTCATTGCTAACAATGAATGATTGTTTGGGGCCAGCATTCCTCAACTCAGTCTGAAGTCAAAGATAAATAACAAAATTCAAGTCTGATGCAACAAATTTCAAAACAAACATTGCTACGCATATACTAATTAAGAAATGACGAACTTAAAAATGATTTGAATGAATACAAATTTAGCCTTCCTTCTGAGACCACATTGTTCAAAAGTACTTTAATGATGGTCCAAGTATCCTCGATAGGCCTTCTCAGACTCTTTGACTCCATTAGAGTTGGGTCCATTGCTATGAAATACTTGATTAGGGAATAACTATTCTGTAAGTTATCAACCTCAAGTAGTTTAATAGCAAATCACCTTTTGCAATTATATGGATCAAAAATGGATGAAAACTTCCCTATGTTGTGGAAAGCACAGGCAGAGCCGAAGGATCGTTTCTTCGGTGTGCTTGTACTACATCAAAGAGAATTTACCGCGGAGAACTTGCACATAAGGCATTGGTCGTGTAACTGGATATGCTCCCTATGTTCATAGCCTTTTGAAAATACCTACCACCTTTTCAGGAACTGTGATTTCACAAAGAAGGTTTGGTATCTGGTTTACGATTGTAAATTTTTTAACCAAGCTGGGACATAAGCCTTGATTCAACCATGGTGAAATAAACTAGCGACGACACAACCAGAAACAAAGAGTTTTCAAAAACACTTATGGTGGAACATATGGCTAGAGATGAATAAAAGAGTTTTCAAAAACACTTATTCAGATGAAACCATGGATGCTAACCTAACCACTACGGACATAAATCAACGCATGTTAGCCTTTCCTTCCTCTTGATGTATTCTTCCCATTAGTTCTCTCATGTTGTTTCTGTTGTCTGATGTAATAACTCTAATAACTTGTTTTTTTACTCTATCACCCCTTCTTAATATATCTGACAGATCTCTTGCCGACGAATTTTTAAAAATGATGGATAGCATGATTAATTGTTTGTATGTAACATCATCTTTAGGACCTATCTTAGTTGTTTCCTTAAACAATCTATATTCCACAACTCAATTTTATTAAGTGTAGATTGGTTTGGTTTGATGCCATCACAAATTTTGGTTGGGTGAAATGCAAAATATACGTTTGGATTGGTACCCGAA